CAAGGGGAGAGGAGAACAAGAGAGGGAGAGGGAGAGCAAGAGAGAGGAGGAGAGCAAGAGAGGGAGAGCGGAGGAAGAGGCAGGCAGGCTTAACTGTTCATGCCAAATGTACTGCACCCAAATACTGTCAAGTGGTGCAATGATTAATGACACTCTCGGGCTAATGGATTCCAAACACGAGTGGATCCACCTACTTTGCATATTTTTTGTGCAACTGTAACTTTTATACATTCCTTTCAATAACTAAATAAAGGAGCTTAAGCGAACATTCTTACATTTATATATATTCCCGCATTTTCTGCATGCATTACTGGATACATGCATAATAAATACGTACCTATATACATATATTACAAAATCATATACCATATCATATTCATATGACTTGACATTAATATCTATATTTCATATTTATAAATAATATATTCACATAATATTCCTTTATCAATGCAGTAATATGTATTTCATTACACATATCACAAATCTATATATCAATATATATCTATATATCTCCTACATCATATTTACCATATACATCATATCACACTGTATATCATACATCAAAAATTATATAATATATATCACATATAAAATGCTGATCAAGAAAAAGAGACAAGTTACTGTAGCAATTCAATACATAAAAAGCAAAAACCTTTTGAAACGTCACATACCAAATCTGACCAGAAAAATGTACATAAACAAGAAAATTTCCCCTTACTCTTTTCTTAGAAATACCAAGACCATGACTTGAATAAAAATTTTGACACTGAACATGCAATTCAGCATCACAGCAAGGAGAGAAAAATTTCCTAGTTCGTCTTCCGACAATTCTCAACATTCCCTTCGTTCAAGACCTCGAAATTAACTCTTCCCATTCTCCAAAATCAGCCTCTGTCTTATATAACACAACAGAAACTCCTAAGTACCTGCTTGATTTCTTAAGATTCATCTCAAAAATTTGCGGATGACGAGATTTCTTAATCAACGACGAATCCCAGTCAAGATAATAATCATGGTTTTATTTTACAATAATACAATCAACTAAACGATTTGGTCATTTAAAGAGGTAATTTAGACAGGATTTATAAAGGCAAAAAGAGTTGGAAAAAATATGGTACTAAACTAAAAAATCAAATGAATAAATAAATAAATACATAAACAAATAAATAAGACTATCATAAGACTGCAAAAATGCCTCTTAAAAACAAATCCTGTAAAATCAATATTACATACCCAACAACCCTAAACACCACATTACAAAAAACCCTGCAATCGTTATCTCACAATATGCGAAAGGATGAACAAACATCACCTCATTTACATAATGACAAGTACTGATCAACTGATTATTAAAAATTAACAGAATAATATGAGAAAATAGCTCAACATCCTAGCCACTGTCATCCAACTATCTACAGACTGAACCCCTTCCATATTGAATTCTATAACATTACTTTTTTGCAAGTACCTCACAGCTGATCCATCAACAACCACTAACTTTATACGTCAATTAATTTAATCATAATTTCTGTCTTTTTCTATCATTTCTGATTATTTCTCAAAGAAAAAACAACTTAAAATTTGGATTTCTCAAAAATGTTATCCCATATGTGGGTGTTCTATGGTTTCCTCTTGCCTGTCCACACGATATCAAAGATGTTTAGTTGCAAAATAATTTACCGTTTCATTTCAAGGAATGTGTGGTTTATATATAGAAACAGTATGCATCTTAATTCTGCTAACATATCAACAATCTAAAAACAAAGACAGCTGGAAAGATAGACTATCTTTCCCTCTACATACCTAAAACTACATTCTACAAATATATTTATCTATTACAAATATACTTATGCAGATACAGAACCAAATAAGCTACACGTTTGGAGAGAGTTATTCTAAAAGCCTTAAGGGGCCTGTCTACCAAAAATTAAGCCAAAATTATGTTCTTCACTATTTTGAGATAAATCCATGTTTTTTACACCTTTCTCCCAAGTGCAACCAAATTTTCTACAGGGGGGGGGGATGTTATAGCTCAAAGGTTGTGTGTTCCTCAGAGGTTTTTATCTAGACAAAAAATCAAATATTATAAAATTATAAAAGCTGACATAATTTGCATGGTAGAACACTGGCTTTGCAATCGCACAGTCCTGGTTTCTCAGTCAATCAGGCCCATTCAGTCAACTCAGTTGTGTATGAGTACAAGCTATGTGCCGAGAGCAATGTTGAGGTGCAAAAGAACTGGCCACCCTACCACGTTATTCTGAATCTTGGTACGCATAATTATCAACAAAAATGTCTACTTGGATGTGGGACCAACTTTGAAAATGACAGAACATGTCTTTTAGTTTACACAATAATAAAAAATAATAAAATCTATTTTGAAAACAATAATGTACAATGTATTTTCACATTTGAAAATTGGCAAGCTTTTTTGTCTGAGAGTGTTAGATTTGGGTAAATTTTGCATATTTGAAAACCTCTGACCTTCAACATGTTTTACGAGGCTTGCTGTGCCTCTCTACAATTTTTGGGGGGTGGTTTAGCCCTACAAATCTAACCCCTATAATCAATGCACCCAATAAAATTCAGATTTGTCATATTCCTGCTGTAAATTAATCAAACATCTTTTAACAGATCATGGAAGAATATGGACTGGAAAATCATCTATTTCAAAACTAAAATTCATAAGCATTGCATAAAGTGTGTGTAAATACACACACTGCACTACATGAATATATATACATTTGTATGCACACATGCCCCTCACCTACTATGCAAATTGGTGTGCCTGGAGTATTCTACAAGGAAAGGGAGCAGGAACAGTAATGTGGGCCATATTAAGCATTAACACGCTCTGTCGCAAGTGATCTTTGAGAGAGGGAAGGCTAAGCTTCAGAGCAGAGGGATTAGAATGTGGTATCAACTTTTTGGGTATTTTTCCATCCATGTTTAAGGGAATGCTTTCCTTTCTGTCAGGGGTGAGCCCATGCATACCCTCGGTTGCTGAAGAGTCTTGGGAGCCCTTCGTATTACCAGCCTTGAGGGACCAACTACTGAATTCACAGCTAGATGTATGATGTGTATGTCCTAACTTCTCCTATTTTGATGCATTTTCTGCATAATGCAACAGATTTGTTATAGATGACAAATGAATAAATTGTGGGTATGCAACTTTGCAATTACGATGATCTCAATTTTTGAGCTACAGAGATAGGGTAGGGCTCACCTAATTCTGAAATGCAGTGGCGAGCACACCACTTCACCAATTTTTTTTTTTTTTCCTGGTATTCTTACACTGCATGGAAATATTCCCTAAACATGAATCTTTTCATTGTACACAAAATTTGAGACTTGTACTATGAGCAGATACTACTGGTTCAAAAAAATAATAATAATAATAAACAATAAATCTAAAAAATGAAAAATAAATCTTAATAAATAAACAAATAAAACAGTAGACAGGCCCTAAAAGACTACACCCTCGTAAAACCTACCTTCGCCTGGGGTCACGTGGCGACCTGGGCCGGGAAGGAGAGCCACCAATCTTCCGGGGAGGAATGGCAGCTGGATCCCTGGGGTCCCTAGGATCCCTAGGATCTCGGGGGCGAGAAGAGGCCCGGCTCTCCCTGCCCTTCTCATCCCCACTTGCTTCCCCTACATCACTGTAGCCCAGCTCATCGCGGTAGAGCTCCTTGAAGCCGGTGTGTGCCCATCTGTTGCCATTGAAGAAGTGATGTTGGACAACTGAGAACTATAAACTAAAAAAGGAGGGTAACTGACTCATTTACCCATTCAATGGAAATACAATTGTGATGCTAGTACTCTGCTCCTTACCTGTTTGGTTGCGAAGCTTCTGCATCGAGCAATTTCTTGGTCCAGAAAGTGTCCTTGGTGCGGGTGGAAGCCTCGCGGCGTGCACGCACAACGACTTGTTCAATGGGACCTCGATCTATCCCACCACCACCAACCCCACAATCTTGAAAGATTAAAAGTTTAACATCTTTGTCTTGGCCTATGCTTGTGCTATGACTTACCTAACACTATCACAACCAAAGTGCTATGAAAAAAGCTGTATCTACTGTACAATGCCTTTTACTTTCTTTCAATTACAGTTCTACTTAAAAGTGAACGGAAAATTAATAAATCAGAACACCTTGTCAAACACAATCCTCATCTGCTTTCCATGACCGAACTTACTTCATAGTTTGTGCAAGGCAATTTTTTTTATTCATTTTACTTACTGTCAACATATATCTTTTTAAGGTTTGAAACTCTACATAAAATTCTGTGAACTAAAATCTTTTTTTGTGTTATCTATAACTTTTTGCATTACCTATAGTTAACCATTCTATTTCTAATAATATAAGCTCTATAAGCTCCAATATATTCAACATAAGCTCCAATATATTCAACAAAGGTCCTCACTTATAAAATGAACAATTCATAATATATGTACATTTACATGGAATAAAAAAACATATGTATACAAGCATACATGCACATAAATAAGTATTAATGCTTGGGTAATCCATACCTTCTTTGGGGTCTCTGAGAAGTCTTTCTGCACGTGGTGGTCTGTAGTCATCCATTCTCATCCGCATGGATGCAATAGGCTGCTTATTACCTCCTGACATGGGTGGACCTCCACCACTGCCTCCTCCGCCTCCTCCTCCACCACCACCACCCCCCCCACCTCCTCCACCTCCTCCCCTTGCCCTGCGGCGCCTACGGCCTTTCCTCCTCCTCCCGCTGCCCCCTCCACCTCCCCCACCTCCACCAGCGACGCCATTGCCGCTTCCACCCGGCCTGGGGGGTGGGCTGCGAGGCCCGCGCTTGGACCCTCCGCGATCTCCACTTCGTCTCTGTAGAGAATAAGAGCTCAAGTAATGTCAGTAGTTACAGAAGTTCAGGATATATTCTAGAACATATCCTAAAACCTTTTGTTATGATCTTTTATATTTTTGAAAAATAATAATAATAAAAAAATGTGGAGCTAGTGAGATTCCTTTATTCTAGTATTAATTAGGGACATTCTAAACAATGCATAAAAAAGTAATGCATTTAAAAATAGTTGTGTCCCTCTCAGTGAATTTATGATTCTTTCAAGGGGTAAATATTTGCTCATTTTACAGGGATAACTATCTGACCTTAACTGTCACCATAATTAATGAAAAGTCAATGAGTAAAAATTAAAAAAACAAGTGGGAAGTAGTAATCAAAAGTCAATTTATCTGTTAGGACATAAATGTGAGCAGCTTAAGAGCATGAAAATAATAAAGAGTCAATAAACGTGTATGAAAAGGGGTCCAATTACAAAATGATCAAAAAAACGATATAAAAAAAAGAAAAGCACTAACCACCTCTCTCCTTTATCCATACTCACCACACCAAAAATTTGAGTACATAGAGCATAAAGTATTTAATGCCGTGTCAGTGTACTCAGCAAGTGGCCATGGTAATATGACCTTGCCAGTGGACCCTGTGCGGACCACAGCATACACTGCCTGGCCTCTTGGACTTGCAACACAAGGCCATGAGGGCAACAACCTTAGCCATATTGGTAAGCTCAGGTGCAGGTTAGTGCCTTGAGACCTGCACACTGAGGGCTCTTAATCAGCAGGTTGCAGCCTCCAGCTGTGTTCCCATGGTCAACTTGTGACCGGGACCAGGCTATGCGTTTCCTCGCATTTCTTCTCTCTTTCTTTCATTAAGGATCGGAGATTCGCTTTGTCAATATGCACCGCATTAAGTTTATTCACACTCATAGTCCTGTATTTCCTTCTGAGAAACGAAAGATTTGGTCTGAGTCCACCACTGTCCCTTTTGCGCAAAATTTATAATGAGCCGAGTTTTCCGTGAGGATTTGAGTCATTACTACTTATACACCACTTTCCCAAAACTGAAAGTTACGTTTAAGCCCACACTACTCGAATCCCTTCCAATGCATCCTCCCATCGTTAAAAATTAAATCTCAATTCTATAACATCAAATCCACTTCTGGTTCCACTCTGCACATTACCCTTAGCAAAAGTTCCATGAAATATACTTTTCAGGTTCCACTGCCACAGGAAATTTTGGGTTCATTACGCACGCCTCGTTTCGAAATACGATTTTGAGTAAAAGGACGCTTCTTCCTTTGCGAACCATCACACTATTCAAACTATAACATCACATGCACTAACATGGTTGTTGATGTTATCTGAACATTTTTTTTAGCACTTGTCTTCTTGACACACACACACAAACCACCGCTCGGAAGAATGTGAAGTCAGTATAATAAATGAGATCACAATCAAGTTCCAACCGTATTTACTCCACACAAATTTGAACGTTTCCAGTTCAGTACTTGCATGTTTTACTAGTTTATACCGTAAAGTCTTGTAAAAAATCTCCACCGTAAAAACGCAGTCCTTCACACTCTGTAGCAATGGCTCAATCATCAAAGTTCCACATGTTCACCAATCTCAACAAGTCTTATCCCGACGCGCTCGATGCGAAATTAGTGTCCGAGAAAAATGCGATTTACAACCATAAAATGTCCACCGTTTTATCTTTTTAACACTTTATTGCCCATGTCTCTTTGAAGTCACTACTTGCATCCTGGTGTTAGCACGACCGCTATAGCTTTGGAGGTACGACGAACGATCCAGGATTTGCGATGTTCCATTAGCAAAGTTTAAAAAGGACCTTGAGCTGAAAGAGGTCCAGCCAAATTTCACAGTCATAGCTTATAGATTAAAATCCTCTCTGACAGCCAGAAGTGGGTAAGCGATGAGACCTATGCCTTGCAATCATACTTTCTCTGCATTCAGACTTGTCAGGCCACTTTACGGTCTTAACAAATTAGGCTCAATTACATTAAAACCTCCCTATGCTATCCTCAAAGTTCTTTCCCTACTACGAGAGGAAAACTCAAAAAAAAAAAAAATAAAGATGAAAAACAAACCTCGTAAAGAAAAGCTAACCTATCTTTTACTTACAGAAAAAAAGAAAAAAAAAAAAGATATACATAAATACACTCTACTCTGACATCCTCCTGAAAACTGTCTCTAAAAAAGAAGTTATTAAAAAAAAAAAAAAAAAAAAGATTACTGACAAGAAATGGCCTCACAAATCGTCATGAAATTTACAGCTTTGGTCTCTTTTGATTAAGTGAAAACGCGAGTGCTCTGGCTGTATAGTTCTTACCCGTGGTGAGGCTGGGCGGCGCACAGGAGATCTCCTTCGAGGAGATTTAGGCCTCGGAGACCTAGGCCTAGGGGATCGTGGCCTTGGTGACCTAGGCCTTGGGGACCTCGGCCGTGGAGATCGGCGGGTTGGTGAGCGTACCATTTTCACCCAACCCTATCCCCACTCTTACCCTGAAAGAATAGTGATTAGGGTTAGAGAAATATTGAAGTACATCCAGAAAAATCAGAAGGACGTCTTGCTGGTCTGGTCAAGATAAATAGGATTTTTTTTTTTCTATGCTGTATCGAAGTGTCATTAAACCTGCAACAGGAAGAGGATTATTGAAAAGTGAGAAATAAACAAGGGAAAATGAAGGAAATACAAAGAAGAAAAAGGGGAAGGAGGGCAATATAAATAATTGAACGAAAGGAGATGGCAGTATAATTGTTTAGAATACTGATGAACTGTATTCATGTTGACAAATGTAGAAAATGTATGAATGAGAATGGATAATCACAATACAACAGATGTATTTGACCGGTTTCGAATATATTGACGAAGGTAGAATCGAAACCAGTCAAATACATCTCTTGTATTGTGAAGATATCTATTCTCATTCATAACTTTTCTATATACATGTTTAGAATACCTTCGCATAACCAATTGCAGCAATTTTAGTATGGATGTATTCTTCTTATCCTCTAGTAAGACATAGGAATTGTGCCATACACCTGACAATCTTGGGCATGACAGAAGGCTACCATGGAAATAGCAGGTTAAATATGAATATACATGAAACAAGTCACCTTAGTTATAATAAACACAGAATAAATCACTAGAATGTCTAACACAGGCTCAGTGCCCTATGCAACCACTCTCTTCGGCGACTGCTGCCCCCCCCCTTAACCCTACCCTGGAAGACTAAGAATCCTATATGACAGTGTGTTCAACTGACATGCAAGAGTGCTCAGTACCATGTCTGTCCTACACTATATCCTGTCATACACATGTGGTGGATTCTTTGTTGTCCAGGGCAGGGTAGCAGCCCCAAAGGGGAGGGAGGTTACCAGGGGTACTGTCGTCTTGTGTTTCACTATATATTGACCAATTCTCTAGATATTATTCATATTTCACCCGGCAACTTCCCGGGTACCAGTCATGCTCTCCCCAGCTATTGGGGCCAAGATTGTGGGTATGATAGGGAGGTCCTGTGGTATAATTCTATATACTTGTGCAGTAGAGAGTGAGAGAAATCCATTATTAACAATATCACCATGTGAAGGTCTTCGGAATATATAACGGTGAAAGAGAGTATGGATGCACTAACTTCAGGCAAATTGTATATAATATTCTTGTAGAGGCAAAGAGTTGCAGCTGAAATAATCTGCAGACACAAAGGCGAAACAAAATGAAGTTAAAAGATCATGGAATTCACAGCTTTCAGCATAAGTCCACTCAGCGCTCCCGATTTCAGCTCAATCTTGCTGTGCATACTAAGGTGAAGACAATGTCTCTGCCCCATCAGCCCTCCCTTTGGACATTTAAACTCATGAATAAATTTTGTGACGGAGTTGGAACTGTAAAGGAAAAGGAACAAGAAGGTGAAAGAGGCTGAGATGGAGGGGAAGAAATAGCTGAGGAGGAGAAAGTGTGAGATTAAAGATGAGAAAGAATGAGGATAAGGAAGAGAAGCAGTAAGGTTAAAGAGACAAAGGACACACAAGAAAGAAGAAAGAGAAGCAAGTTATTTTTTCAACAAAAAACAAATATCATATATCATCAATGAGTAACATTGAATATTAGTAAGTATTGATTCACAATTAAATATGGGTTCTCAAATTTACTTTCCCTTATGAGGAAATATGAATATAATGTAGTGATCTAGCTGCTTATACTGTATATCAAGATTTGGCAAAGATCGGCTGGTCTCCATAATTTATCAATAGTCATCCTTCTATCAGCAAGGTATAAAAAGACTACAAAAACTCTCCAAGAAACAGCACTCAGCTCATATACATGCACCAAAATCCAGGCATCATGCTTCCTTCAGCAGCAACTCTCCTGGGTGTGCAAAAGCCCAGCCTACACAAACACTCATGACTCCTTGCCTCCCTTTGCAATGATATTTGCCCTTTTTCTGTAGACACATTTTCCTTGTTGGTCATTTTCTGATGCCTTTATTTATGCTGTATCAAGATAATGACCGTTTTCATTATGCAGACTCCATACTATCTCTCCAGGCAGTTTACACTCTGTTTTATAACAGTAACAAGAAAAAAATGATATTTAGTAATGGAAACAAGTTTGCCTAAGTTTAAACTAAACACAGCCAAAAATACTTGGCAATATTTATGATTTACATTTAAAAATAAGATATGCAGTGCATATTCCCTATTTATCATCACCATCATTTCTATCCAATTTTCTTCACACTGTTAATATAACTAAAGAAGAAAGGAACACCCACAGAGCTCGTATGACCACTGCTTAATGTACATTAGGATTTTCAACAAAATCAATAAATATTCATAAGATATATTTAGGCAAAATATAGTTTTAACTGTCTCTTTATTTGATGATGAGTTGCCAAGCACCACTACTAGCCCTACCTTGACGGAATTGTGTGCGGTGTTAGATATAAGGATTTCTCAATGGCTTAGCTGACTTGTACTGCGTACAGAATTCCCTGTATTGCTCGTTCAAACAAGTCGGACAAGAAGTATTGCCCGTTCAGAACCTCTACTTTCTTGTCCTGGACAAATTGTCCATCTCACCCTCCTTCCCAGCCAAGTGAGCAGGGCAAGATAATATCACAATAGTATTTGTATGTACGCAATAACAGTTGTGTTTGTCAGTTGCAGGTAAGTTAAATATGTGCCAAAGGAGTTACAAAACCTATGCAGCATGTGAAATAAAGACACCATTATGATAAAATTGAGAATGTTTACATTCAAGCTGGTTGCATTCTGGGAAGCAAAGGCCTTGGAGGTTCTAAACGCAGCCTCATTGTCCTGCTGGTCCTGAAAAGTTATCTGAACGAGCAAGACAAGGAGTTCCAAATGCAGCATAAAGGTACTCAAGCACTGACTAAATAGTACGTGTCTATCTGGTACTGCATGCAACTAAGACAAACTATTCCAAACATTGGGGAGTGGGTGGTAACCTACTTGTTGGTCATGGATATGTGTCATCTGATGCCTACTCACTTTGTGATAATGACAATCTTCACAGTAAGAACGCACAAAGTCAGGGCAAATTGAATATGATATTATTGGAGAGGACAAAAAGTTGCAGTCTTTGGTACAAGAAATATCTGCAAACACAAATGCTAACGCCAAAAATAAAGGAAAAAGATCACAGAGAGTGCCACTCTCAGCCCAAGTCTACTCAGTGCTCCTGAGTTTCAGCTCTATCTTGCCATACATACGAGGTGAAGACAATATTTCCCAAGGGGTGTTGGGGGGCAGAGACTCCCATCAACCCTCCCCTCGTGCAATGGCCCAAGTGCACGCCCAATCACAGCAACTTGGAATGATGAATATATATTTTATGTGGAGCTGAGGAATTAAACTCAGGCAAGTGTGTCAGTACTATAAAGAATTACCATTGCAATCATTGGCTTTAGACTGCCAACCAAACACAAAGAAGCTGAGGTGACTCTTAAGTAAAAGGCATGTACAAGTCTTCACAGAACAATAAAATATCAAGCTGACAAATGCAACTAATGCAACCACCACTGAACTAAGCTCCAATCACCATGGCCTCCTGACTTGTCAGCACTTTGGCAAAGGCCAGCAAACCTACAGTATGTGTCATTATGGCAAGATAAAAGTTTGTCAACCTCTCTAATGATACAATATCAAAGGCAACAGTTTATGCTCTCACTTGCCAGAACATAAATTATTAGAACTTGGGTTTTGCAGAAGCAGCAGTGGTTCCTAAATACCGAGAAATCATTTTCAACTTGGAACTGTAGCCTTGGAAACCTAGTTAATATGAAGTTTCATGTGGCTTTAGATAGAACATAACCAACAAAAAACACTAAAGAAAAAGTCCTTTATAGAAAGCCAATGTAGGTTAATATCATTTTAAATCTACCATAAATATTACCTTCAAAAAATTATTCAAATCCACATTAACAAAAGTTCACCAACTCTTTCTCAATAAATGCCTCCCATCCACCCAATACCAAATTCTGAAGGACTCAGACTATGAATCTCTCCAACACAGAAGATTATAACTTTTCATCCTACAACACAGACTACACAAAACCAGCTGCGCAAAATGACGGCAATGTCAAGTATTACCATCATCGTTTATCACACTCTTTCTCCTCATAATCATCATCTGGTTAATGTACACTCACAAGACACGTGTAATAACAAAAGGTTCCTTAATGTGAGACTAAACCCAAGCTACCCACAGCCAAATCCAGGACTTCCGTAGGCCGAGAAATGACAATAATTATCAAAGAAAACCCAGACACGCCAAAAAACATCGAGAACTAGTTTGGTCTGCGGAATTCGGTTTATATTGTACCCTTCATTACAACTCTTTCTTTTCCCTCCCTCGGAATGGACAGGAACTTACAGTGGGTAGGTTTCATTGAGTTTGTGAGAGTTCTAGCCCAATGGACGACCGGGAAACAGCCTCTTTTCCCCTCCCTCGCATGTCATCCCGGCTGTGATAGACCATAATAATCGATGGGGCGGCGGCGTCTGTCCACAACAAAATCAAATCGCTCATTATTTACCTTCAAAATCCCCTCTCCAATCCTCCTTTCAACCCCAGTTATCAGAGAACATCACCTCCAATCATCCGCTATTCGAATCGACCCAAACCCCACCAAAAGGGCGTTAAAAGTGAATAATAATACCTAGTACAATCAGCAGCAGCGACTCTCTGCCTCCGACTCCTCCGAACTTGAC